CATATATATAACTATTAGTATATATGATAACATTACCGCTAATATGTCAGCACTACTATTAGTATTAATATCTGCTGTGTTATTATTGTACTTTTATTATATTATATTGCATTGTTATTATTAGTAGTAGTAACTACTCGATTTCATTCCACACAGCAGTCCATGTGCAATATAATGCAGATCTTTCATGGTTGATAACAGCTGCCGCTCAGAAGATCGTACAAAAAAACGCAAACGTCACACGACGACAGTACTTACAATGAGATGTAGCCGTTGATAGCTGTCTGGTAGAAAAAACCAAGCAGATTGGTAGCTCAGAGTTCAGATGGTGCCATGACGGCCCGAAACCAAGTATGTTAGCTTGAATTCATCTTGAGACGTTGCTAATTGCTCAAAGACGTGGCTATATATGTGATTTGTGTCACCAATGAGCATGCTAATCCTCGATTGGTTTGAGCAGTCTCAATTTTTCTGTTGTGCACGAGACTTTCTAAATGCAATTCGCTCTCGAAAGGTAGATAAGGTGGACCATATTTATACGAAGGTTTCTATTTCTTTTTAGTGCTTTTAGGTGACATAATATCTTAGAGGGTTCCGCTGTAGGCTTGGATGTACTCATGGAACGCTTGTTAGGCTCTCCTGTTTTAATACAAGGAGACTGTTCGTGAGCCCATTTGCGCCATAGAGCAAGCACATAACCAGCTTCAATCACTTATTCGTTACGAACCAAGATATTTTCTGCGTAGCCCATGCTTGCATTGGGTCAGCAAAAATTTTGGTGAACAAAACCAACCTTCTGTCTTTCTGAAGAACGTGACATAATGCAACTTCTTGAAGCCTTGCTGATTATTTCGCTGAAGAGGCGAACCAAGGAGCAATGTCACGACAACTTTCTGACTTAGTAATCACCGATTGATTTTGCAAAAGCCGCACAACCGTGGCTCAAAGCAGACAATGAGCTTTTTATGGTGCTGCTTTCACAGTTGTGTGGTGACGTGGAAGCGATCTACACATCTACACCGGATTTTCTTATCAAGAGAGATCTTATCAGTTCAAACATGCCGAACTCATTATGACGTACACCGAGTATTCTGAGTTGGTGTTTTTTAAATCTGTGTGTTAGCCCACTAAAGGATGCATTCGTTTCTTTAGTACTGAAGCGTATTCCCCACATTGTGAAGTGCAGAACAATTTCAGTTCCCATTTGGAAAAACTGACATCGTGTCACTTATAAAGATTCGCACTGCTCAGATTCCATAATATTTACCCTGTTTAACACAGCTTTGTTTACATTATGTGGTTATTTAATCGTGTTAGCTTCCTTTATCCATAGATAATAATGCCTTCGCCTTCATACCTGGTGTTTCACACTACTCGAAAAGAGGACACACTCGTTGGTAAAAAGAAAGTAGGATGCATTGCCCATCAACAAGTGCCTTTTGTTCTTCCCAATCAAGTGACTGTGAGTTTTACCACTGTAGGGCTACGATGAATAGCTTTGACTATGTTGTGCTGTCACATCCTTAATCAGTTTAGAAGTCGAAGGGCTTGGAGAAAATACTGAGTGGTAGCTCTATAAGAACCATTGCAATTAGCAAGCCCGTTTTTTGTAGAGAGCATAACTTAAGCAACTGTGGCCTGCGGAAGGGAGTTGCCTCCCGCACTGCGAAATCCTTTTTTGTACTCATCGATTGTTTAAAGCAGAGATTCTCTGCAGCTCATTACGACTCACGAGAATATTCTTAAATGCCTAGGTCATAGAAATGTTCAGCAATGCTTTTTAGTGATCTGGAATTGCTCAAAGAAGAGCCTACGTGCTTTAAAAGAGAGCGGAAGAAGAGTTAGACTGGAAAGAAGTAATACTGCGACGCCGTTCAATTCTGGTAGTCGATAAGAGGCTGTCTCTCCTTCACCACACCCACCATTGGCGATTATATTAGATGACGGGTTCATATGCTTGTGCGTAGGCAGATCTTCTGCATGGCAATTCATTTCAGACGCTCAAGTGAATTAGGAGCAGATAGAAAATGTTTTCTTACTCATCTTCAGTAATTGATCTTAAGATTTAGTGTGGGATAGTCCAAAAGCATCCAGTGGCTTACTAAGACACCGTGGACTCCAAAAGAGCCTTGATAATTACAGCACTCAGTTCGTAATGCGATAGCAGAGAACCCGCTGAGTACCAGGGTATAATATTAACCTTTTAACGTTTACTTTTTTATTTACTGCCTACTACAATTTTCGTGGCGGCAAGGTATTATTTGCGAATTCAACCACAACGATGCTGAGATATTCGCAAAACTTGGACACCGAGCCAGATCGAACCACAGTTTCCCTTTTCGGAGGTCTTGCGCATTACACCGTGGAGGCCCTTGATCTGCGTTTCTCTCAAAGTTCACGTTCTCTCAGATTAACCTTTTATTTGCTGCTTACTGTAATTTTTCACGGCAAGGTATGATGTGAAATACAACCACAATGATGCTTAGATATTAGGAAACCTTGGACCCTAGGTGAAATCGAGCCACGATTATCCTTTTCGGGTAACTCGCGTGTTACACACTGCCTTATTGAGGCCTTTGATTTGCCTTTCTCTTAGCTAGTTTTTTTTACCGAGCTGATCGAATCGCATTCTTTAAGATAGCCACGCTAAGGTGTACCTACGTGGAATGGAGAACAACAGCGTTGAAAGGTAGTCGAGCGAGCATCTTGCTTCTACCGCTACTGTCTATATGCCAGCATATTTAGATTACTGATTTTGTCATGGAATATCCTGTTTCGAGACCATCAAACATCATAACTACCTATAGGTGTCTCTCGGGCTTATAAATATAAACGAATGCATAGTCATAACAAGCTATTGAAATGAGCCTACTCTTTTAGTTTCTACTTAGTTGGTGAAGTATTATTTTTCAAACTTATACAGTCTTTTCCAAGAATCTTGGACCTCATAATTTGGCCTATGTGGTCGTGAAATACTCTTTTATCAATAACCAAACCCAGCCTCGAACAGCTGTTTCTGGATACACATGTACAGTGTGCACAAGTTAACCAATGTTTTCAAATAAGGGCAAAACAATATCTATTATCCTTCCGATCGCCAAAGTTGCAACTTCCATTCGTTGTTATCATGGGACCGTCAAACATCCAAAACGTAATGAGGGTTTGAGGCTTATGCTCTGCATTGGACTTTGTCCTTGCAAATTACTTCGTGAAAATTACGTTCCTCCGTCTTCTTTCGAATAGGATGATCGAGAAAAGGCGGAACTATCTCTTGACCATTCAAGTATGTACTGTTTCGTCGTTGACGGGTAGGAGCATATCTTCTTCTCGACTTACCCGCTGGTGTTGTTTTTATTGGAGGCGATCGATTTCTGTTCTGCGGATATTGGAGGCTGTTTCTCTGGCTATTAGGTGTGGCATCGACGGCTCGCAAGTTCTCTGAGAAGTCTTTTCCTAAATTGAGTCCCAGCACAGCAGCTGTATGCCGACCACGAGTCTAACAGTAGAAGGGAATTCTTCCGCTAAAGAACATAGTGTTCTCGTTTTAACAGCTGTCAGTTTTGTGCTCTTGCAACACTATCATAGCAACTCCTGTTGATTATTGGCATTATTGCCGTCTACAAACGTCGGCGCTGCTTTCGCTTCTTACATTCTTCTCGAACCCTTCAACCTCACCAGCCTATTTCCTGTTTTTTGATGTCTTTTCGTTGCAGATTTTGGTGAATTCCAGCAGCCTTCTACCTAATTTTGTCTTCTTATGAATTGTTAAGGATTGTCTTGATAGAATTGGTCATTTTGCAGCTGTTTTCTCGACCTACCGAGTATTATCCTTTGAATCATAGGCCTGAAAAACAAAGGAAGATAAAGGTTCAGAAAGCATTCCCAAGTCATATTTCCTACTTAAAAAATCTTTCTGTAAACTACTAGACAGTTAGTTCAGTCAGAAAAACTGTACTTTAATTTTTTCTGGGGTTCATCTCTCATTTTTGAATAGTTTGCGTTGTCTTTATCTTTCCACACCGCTCCGCTTTCAAGATCTTGGTTTAGTACCACTCCTTTGGCAGAGATCCTGGGTTGTGATAAACTGCGGTGTGCAGCAGAGTACCATTTCCTGTGAGCGAACAAAAAAAGTTGAAATTTGTATTCTGAAATTCAACAGAATAGATTAGCGCGCTTGGTGGAATAAAAGTTCCAAAACGGAAAGCTTTTACCCCTTTCTATTCACAACGACTAGGCACTACCCGACTATGGAACAATCCATACATTATCTCGGAACTGCACAGAAAAAACGCTTTCCCGTTGTGCTCGTGCTTAAATTGGATTCAGCTTCCTCACGCTAAATTATTCTCCGATGGTGGCCTCTTTTTCTGAAAGAAGTTTTTGAAAGTACCATGTACTACTCAGCTCAATCAGGTGATGCATTTGGCCACTGTCACATCATTCTTTAAATAGAACTTCTACATTTTAGTTAGAATAAAAAGGATAAAGCTATAGGCATTAATCAATCTCCGATAACCCGTTGTACATGCTCGAACTAAAGGCCATCTGTGTATCGCAATGCACCTTTAACCGCTGGGTTATAGGTGCCCCTTACGTTTTAGTTGTACAAATTTAATGATCATCACTGTATAATTTTCTATTCAGATTTGTCATCCGTTGATTTGAAATATGGATTCTTACTTATTTTTGTTAGCTATTCTCATTAGCGCCGTTATCAAAATGGTTGAAAATATTTCGTGAATATTTTCACACTACTTGCTCCTGTTCTTTTTATCTACTTCCTTTTTAGCACAAAGAATTCTTTCCGGGGGTCAACAGTGTACCTTACATGACTGTACATGAAATTGCTAAGTCTTGATCATTTTCTCTTCTTTCGATAATCTAACATGTACGCTGACAGTTTGCTTAAGCATTATGTGCATATGCAGCAGTAATTGATCAAATTAGCCATGGATTGGACTTAAACAGAGTGTAGGTAGTTCTTTGCGCTTTCTTCAGGAATGCTCCCTCTATTTTCACTGCTTTTACCCTCAGTCAGGAGTTCACCCTCAGAGCAGCGTTTGATGAATGACTTATTGGCTGGATATGTTCGTGAAGAACGACCTGTACTGGATAGCAGTAAGCCAGTAGTGGTCTCTCTTGGTGTTTCTATGCAACAAATCATCAATCTGGTCGGTTTATTTCTAACAATTTTGAACATATATTCTTAAATGATTTCAATTATACGGATAGCACGAAACGTTTGGGCGTGGCCACTTTATCTTAGCGGTGATTGATAAATGACTGTGACAGTTTCCATAGAAAAAAGTGCGCTTTGGCCTAGACGCGCTTAGAAATTTATAGGATGGTTGGTGATTGCTGATGAGAAAGACAGTGGTCATCGCGTTTGGTGGCCATTGAAAATCTGTCGTTAGTGTGAATAAGGAAGCAGGCCTCCAGACGTGTTAAATAGTAATGAAACCGTTGAGTTGTCACTTCGTAATCGGTATAACGAAAGTGAAACCGAATTTGTTTATAGCATTATGAACCGTAGTATTTCAAGAGATATGGAAATATGAATGTGTTTTTAGGAAATGAGAACAAGTGATTGCAGAACGAAAAGGAAGAGCAGTTGGAGGTGAGCGCATGGCTGAAATTCCAGTGGCGTGACGAGAACCTACGATGGCAACCAGCCGCCTATGACAACGTCACTGACCTACGGCACCCTGCTGGGACAATTTGGCAACCTGACATCCTTCTTTATAATAGGTATATTCTCAACTAATATCAACGATACTATGAGATGTAGTAAGTAGTTTTTCTCGAACAAGCCTTAGTTGAAAGAGATTGGCTACGTAGAGAATTACAGGAAGATTTCCATCTTCAAAAAGCAAAAACAAGGATACTTAATCGCACTAAATGAATATTTAGCACATTCGTGACCTAGCGCCTACAATATTTCTAGTCCACGGAACCTGAGAAGCTTGTGCTAGAGGATTCGTCCAGTTCCTAGTTTTTTTTCTATTGAAATTTCAAAAAACACCAATTTGATGAATTTTTATTCCAACTGATAGAATTAAAATATGCTGAGATATGAGCAGAACTCGGAACTGTAGGTGTACTTTGAGTACTTGCGATTACTTTTTCAGGGTACTCACGTATTATCCGCTACACAAACCGATGCCCTTGCTTTGCGTTGTTCGTATCCCTCTTTTTACTCAAACGGTGCTAGCAGCAATCATCCATCAACGCAAATGAATGGTTATGCCTATTTATGCTTCCCACATTGTTCCCATTTACGAATGAATAATTATAGCACGTTTGAGTAGAAAATCGGCCAAGAGAAAAGCAACATATGGTGGAAAGCACGTGACACCCGGAAAGAGTAATCGTGGGTTCGAAGCCCAACTAAGGTTTCGAGGTTTTCTCATTTCAGTATTCTTATTATTGTATACCACTCAATGCCCTGTTGTAAAAAAGAATAGGCAGTAAATAAAATCTAAATTATATAATAAAATTAAGCTACTATGAATTAAAGTAGTTCGTTTAAAACTGGAAGAATAAGCGACAGTCATCATGGATCCGTCCAAATCAAACCATTAATTCGCGACCGATACCCACTAAGCCATCTGTTATCCATAGTTCTGTTAATGATTGAATAAAGCCAACCGACTATCAGTAGACTGAATTTGTCTCAACTCACAGCGGAGTCATTGGATGGCATTTAACTGGAGCCTTTTATTTCTACTGTTTTTGACAGTGAGGTGGCCTACGATATCCTTTCGTGCCCCGCTGTGGTACGGATCTTTTTGCTATTAGTTAGGAATCGAAGGAAAATGTCGAACTCCTCAGCTTGCGTGACGTTGCTCTCAGTAAGAACCTCTTCAACAACAGGAAACACTGCCAATGAAATGCGAGACCATAGAAAGGAAATCTACACAGATAATTCCTAAAAAATAACAAGCCAGCTGATCAATGCGTAATTTTATGACGTTTCGGCGGATTTCGCCTTCCTCAGCGCCTGGAAAGGTCAAGTTAACAGCAATCTATTCAGCCAAACACCTCCATAACCAAACAAAGAAAACGCTAAACCAAGATTTCAATCACACTGAACACAGCTTTACACACTCATCGCTTTCTATGAGGCTTCCACTGAGTAAGTTGCGTGAAGACCAACCGCACAGAATTCACATGGATGTGTCACTGTAATGTGCCACCCCATAAGAATAACAGGCTTATATGCTGCCCAATATCACGCGTGATAATGAGGCATTCTTCTCTGCGGTTCATTTTCGGATTTCTGGAATTAATCCAGAACACCTCAAGTTTTGCGCGCTTGTGTTCTCGATTCCTGTGCGAGGATCGTGACACGCACTTCAAAGTCCTCCCCGTTATGTCCATGGGTTCTATGCGTGCCTAGTGGGGTATTTGGTTTACGTTTGCCGACTAGGTGTTCTTTTATGGGGACACAGAGGGCTCTGCTCGTTTCGCCAATGTATTCGTCTCTGCACGCCTTACAGGAGATCAGATAGACTGTACCCGAGTTCATGCAATCACCGTTTCTACCATTAGGGCAAATTATGCAATTTAGCGTTGCACACAGACTGTGATATATATAGGCGGTTACGAACTAGCTGGCGTCTTAGAGTACTCGGTGGCGTTCCAATTACGCTTACCGAATTCTCTAAACCCGCCCTTCTTAAGCAGCGTTTTATAGCTGCATTTACATCATTTGTGATGAAGAGTAGAATAAACGGGACCTTCTCATTGCTAGAGTTGTGGTTTGGGGACCTAGGATTTTCCCTACACCTATCCCGAGCTACAGTTTCGCAGCCATTAGAAATGGCTGTTTGCCGTGCCAAGTTCCGGAACTCCTCTCTCTGTTTTCTTCCTGTGCACACGTGGGTTGCTGTTCGAAACATGTTTCATACAAGCGCCTTTTTCGTGTGAGGTGAGAGGAGAGGTAATGAACCAAGATGTTTTCACTACTTGGTTTTCGGTATCACTTCGTAATGTAGCCATTTTCTGATAGGTGAATTTGGACGTTCAGAAATGGAAGCCAGTTTTCTTTCGGTTGCTCTCGGGTGAACTTGATATACTCTGAATGTTCATTCAACAACTCGAAACATTTGTGCACTTCCTCTTGTGGTGAGCAAAGGACAAAGTTCACCCTAGAGAAACCGAAAGAATGCTGGCTTCCATTTCTAAACGTCCAAATTCACCTGTCAGAAAATGGCTACATTACGAAGTGATACCGAAAACCAAGTAGTGAAAACATCTTGGTTCATTACCTCTCCTCTCACCTCACACGAAAAGGGCGCTTGTATGAAACATGTTTCGAACAGCAACCCACGTGTGCACAGGAAGAAAACAGAGAGAGGAGTTCCCGAACTTGGCACGGCAAACAGCCATTTCTAATGGCTACGAAACTGTAGCTCGGGATAGGTGTAGGGAAAGTCCTAGGTCCCCAAACCACAACTCTAGCAATGAGAAGGTCCCGTTTATTCTACTCTTCATCACAAATGATGTAAATGCAGCTATAAAACGCTGCTTAAGAAGGGCGGGTTTAGAGAATTCGGTAAGCGTAATTGGAACGCCACCGAGTACTCTAAGACGCCAGCTAGTTCGTAACCGCCTATATATATCACAGTCTGTGTGCAACGCTAAATTGCATAATTTGCCCTAATGGTAGAGACGGTGATTGCATGAACTCGGGTACAGTCTATCTGATCTCCTGTAAGGCGTGCAGAGACGAATACATTGGCGAAACGAGCAGAGCCCTCTCTGTCCCCATAAAAGAACACCTAGTCGGCAAACGTAAACCAAATACCCCACTAGGCACGCATAGGACCCATGGACATAACGGGGAGGACTTTGAAGTGCGTGTCACGATCCTCGCACAGGAATCGAGAACAAAAGCGCGCAAAACTCTTGAGGCGTTCTGGATTAATTCCAGAAATCCGAAAATGAACCGCAGGGAAGAATATCTCATTACCACGCGTGGTATGGGGCAGTATATAAGCCTGTTATTCTGATAGGAGGGCAGATTGCGCTTCCATGTGAATTCTGTGCGGTTGCTCTTCACACGACATACTCAGTGGAAGACTCATAGAAAGCGGTGAGTGTGCAAAGCTGTGTTCAATGTGTGATCACCAAAGCATTAGAGAAGTTGGGAGCTGCCCAGGTTTGTACAACAGACTACGCTACTTGGCTTCAATATATGAACTTTTGTGGAGCATCCTTCCAATTTTAAGCGCTGTGAACGAAAGTATCTAAAAAGTTGAGGGCGATTCAAGTTTTTAAGCTTTCCATCGCAAAAACTGTGAGAACAGCATCATGTCCTCTTCGACGAAATCCTGTCCGTTCATTTGCTATCGTGTTGAAAACATAAGCGTTTCGAAAAAAAATGACAGAGTTTGCCATGGCTGCCAGAAAATGAGAATTTCATCTTGACCGATCAGAATAGTTTGCATCTTCTAGCCAAAGATCTGTCGTTTCGAATGGCTTTCATCCAAACTACAAAAGTTTCATCCGAGCTGAAATAGCTTAGTTACAAATTGAAAAAAGCTCATTAAATGCCTTCTACCAAACCCATGTAGAGTGTTGACTGGTTTATCGTATCATCGATTGGCACACATCATGCTATTCCTAGCCCACTAAGGAACACTAGCTGTAGAGCGCTATCTTCTCATCGGTTCAGACTGAATGTTCTTCGATCTCAGTTTGTCATTGAAAGAAAGAAGACATGAAGAACTTTTAGCGTTGACCCCGCATTCGACTCCATGTACAAGGTGAATCTACTCAACTATCACGATGGTGTAGTAAATTGGGTACCACCGGGAATTTTCAAAATATCGTGCAAACTCGACATTTACTGGTTTCCCTTCGATGAACAAGTTTGCTTCTTCAAGGTTTGAAATTCACTGTGAATTTTTATGTTCTCTTACTAACAGGTTCAGCTTTTGTTTTCTTGCAATTTATTTATTCCATTGTTGCAGTTCGGCTCATGGTCATTCAGCAGAGACAAGATCGAGTTGGCCGTTGGAGACTTCGACTTCTCTGAATATTTACCAAATGGAGAATGGATTATATTTAGTGAATGTTACTACGCTTTTTTATAGAAAAATTAATGACATAGATTCAGACTTAGGTTTATAACATTAATAATGAAGTTGGCTAATGAAGTAAAACACCCATTTATTGTCTAAGGTAAAAGAATAAAGGATAAAGCTCTCGGCGTTGATCAATCCCTGAGGGATGCGCCATGCATTCAACTTCACTAAGCATCGTTTGGAAGTGATCCAATGCTGACCTTTACAATTACTCGCGGTGGCCTACCGTTGTATCGAGCCAGTGCTGCTATCCTCCCAGACAAGTCTGGTACTAATTCGTCGACCCCGAATGGATGGAAAGCCTGGTGGGCTATGGACGCGGTTATCGATTCCACGTGGGTGTTGCAGTGCGCCTCCGACCACTGCGTCACACGCACCTTTTTGTCGGAGCTAAATATGGAAAACGGCTCGTCCACAGTTATTTTGCATGTGAGGAACTTCTTGTCGGAGAAAATGTGTGAAAAAACCTAGGTGTTAATGGAACTAAAATTTATTCAGTCAACATTTAGTGCGAAAAAAGGATGCTCCAGTTGCATAAATTCTCCCGTTTAGACTCGATGGTAAACATTTCGGTGAAATACTATGAATGCTGTGTGGAGGCATTCGAGGACATCAAATTCACTCTCCATCTTCGTCGTCGCACTCTGTGAGTTGAACCTGGAATGGTTGGCAAAATGAAATCTCCCTTTTTTGTGCCCGTGCCGTAGAAGATCCTACTAATCAACGAGCAACGTAACGCACTGATATACATTGTAGTTACTACAGAGCTGTTTTAACGAACAACTAATGTAATGGCATGTTTGTGATCATAAATTTCTGAACGGTAGCATATAGACATTTAGTTATAAGCCAATATCCAATAATATGCTCTCTTTCATTTCCTTTCCACAAAAAATTCTTGTTCGACTGCATCGTTCCAATAGTGTTGGATATGTAGCTATATGAGAAGCTCACAGATCATGAGCAGCACTCCAAACTCTGATCACATCCCCGTATCGAAGGCTTTACAGCAAACTTTTTCTACGTTTTATAGGCTTCCCCAAACCGACCTCTTTGTCGTACTCAGTTGTGGAGCCAGCTTGTTGATTGTGATGATTTCTTGCCCAAAACACTAACAACTGGAGCATTTGGGGATATTCAGAAGTCATAACGCCTTGAACGAAGTTTCCCTTGCTTTATGATTTGATGTTGAAACAGGTGAACGTTGCTGTCGGAAAGATTGAAGTGGAAGTCATCGGTGGCCTACATCTTTGTCCTTCCGGATATAGTGAATGTCGCCTTTTACCACATAACCGCGATCGTATTTTTTTTCAATTAGTGACGTCTCCCTTGCCAAAGTCATGCTTTGCATCTTCAGCTAGCAGTGTTGTGCTTCTCCAGTTATCTTTTTTATCCTGTTTCTACAAAAGTTGCAAGTGTTACCGTTAGTCTACTTGCCTTCGACTTGCAAGAATTCATTTCCGACGTTTCCTAGTTCGCAAGCCTCGTTTTCTCTGCTTTTATTTTTCGTCTAAGCTTAAGTCTCGAGAAGGAACCGTTTGAACAAATAAGATTTCATCAGCGAGCTGTGATGCTGGCTTCGAATGCATTGTGTGCGTCGAGGAGTGCTATCGCACATGCGAAAACTGTAGATGCACAAACTGTAGACATTTTCTTATGCTGTTAATGCTTCTCTTAGGATAAAATAATCAGCTACTGCGCTCGGCAAAATCTCTTTTATGAGACTGCTGTGTTGCTATGAGTAGGAAGTTAAGAAGTTGTCAGAAAATTTCGTCATCAGACAAAGAGAGGAAAAATTAAGAAAATTTATCGAGAAATCAGTATCGTCGTTATGTGCCTCCCATAATTATTTTTTACAACTTTTCTGGAAGATATCACCACTTTTTAATCTAATATTTAGAACTGTAGGCAACCTCGTCTTACTTTGTCAGATACTACGCCTTCAATCTCATCATGCCTTGCTTCCTGACAATGGTATTGATGGTCCTGGGTTTCACACTGAGTCCGGAAACCTGCGAAAAGGTTGGCTTGCAGATCTCCGTGTCACTGGCCATCTGCATCTTCCTCACGATTATGAATGAGATGACGCCGCACACATCCGAAGCAGTTCCGTTGCTTGGTAAGCAAATTCTTAGTTTCTTCTCTTCACTAAAGACACTGCGAATACATTACAAATAATTAAACCATGACTCTTTCGTGAATATCGATATGAGTAGATCTTTTTTCCACCGACAATATCATCGAAGGTGATCAACGAGCCATTCTATCACGGTTGACTTTTCATGCTTTAATTTTTATTTCGATTATGGTCTAAATAAGATGGGTATCAGCAACAAACTTGAGCTCCGTTGATACTTTAGGTTTTTCTTGTTAATAGAAGCAAAGGGTCACGTGTAGCGCAGTGGTCGGAGGTGCTCTGCCTTACATACGGGATAGATCCCAACGCCCCAAACTCGCCTTACCCTCCGTCCCTCCGGGGTCGGCAAATTGATAGAAGACTTACCTGGGATGGTAGCAGCACTTGATGGGTACATCGGTAGGCCACCGATTTAAATTTAAATTAAATTAAAATTTTTTGTTTTTGATTTTAAAGGCCAGATATGCATTCATTCGCTTCCAAAGATGCTTAATGAATTCGAATGCATATGGCACATCCCTAAGGACTGCTCAACGCCGAGAGCTTTATTCTTTATGCTTTTAGCATGAACAAGCTTACCTCTGTAACCTAATTTTTTTATTTGTCCTCAAGTAACGTAAATACACCCCATCTCCACTTGTTATGTGTCCTTTTACACCTCCATTTACTTGTTGCTCCTATAAGAGTAGAGTATAATTTGCTCCTATAAGTGTAGCCCATCGGGATTTCCTCACTCGAAAGACAGGAAGAGAATCACGTTTTCCCCACTGGATCTTTCTGACAAGATGATCGGTGGACCTCCTAGTGCGCGCTTGATGTCCCCTGGGATCAATTCGCTTAATACATTCCAAACGATACCTAATCTCGTGCCGTTATGGATGTGCTGGATTTTCGCCAATACACGACAATTTTTCGATAACAAGAGGGTGCTGAGGACATGGCGGTACTATAGAAGAGACCTGCTCTATTCCATTTTAGGTATGAATGGTTTGGTGCTAATATTTACCACGCGTTACTATGCTCCATCATAGAAACACATTGAAATTCGAGTGTTTTGCATCCAACACTGGGTTTAGTTCTATATTTTTTATAGCTGCCTATTTTATGCGACAACCATAAAATATAAACATTATAACGATCAGAGCTGAAGTACCAAATAATTGTAAGTTAATTCACCGAGTGGTGCACTCTTTCGAGAAAAGCTTTTCTTGCCGATTTGTAAATTCAGAATACAGCTTCTCCCGGTTGATACCCTCTGTAGCATCTACGTTGGCTAAAGTTCCGTAAATCAGTGTAAATTACTGAAGAGAACATAACCTTCATAGAGATGACAATGGCCAAAATGGACCCTTAAAATTGAGAAGTTTCTATAGCATTCACTTCATCGCGTAGATGTTAACTGTTGCTCTCACTAGCTCTCGAGAAGTCGCAACAAATGTCTAATCCACTTGTTTTCAACACCTTAGTTCACGCAGTTTTGAAGTCTTCTATTTGTGTAATACGAGAGGCACGCTGCATCAACAATATAACGGCTTCGGCAGCGCAGAGTGGTTTCCACCACGGAAATGTAGCGTCAAGGTTTTCGAGGCGTGCTTTAGAACTCTGGTGGTGGACACAGACCATGTTGTTCCTTGGGTGATAGTTTCCTGCAACATATTTCTGGGTCTCCGTAGCCTGCCGTGTTGACTTCTTTAACTGAGGTTCACGTAATGATGAAATTAGAAATAATTTTCTCCGTTATTCGTGAATTAGGACATAAAAACCGTCGTTTCTCATGAAAACAGCGTTATATAAATTTGCAATTTCTCCCATAAAAAGAGCCGGCATTGAGAGAGCATCCATTTTACCTGATTAATGCTTCATGTTATAAAAACAAAGTAACAGTTTTCTAAGTAGTGCTTGAAAATAATTTCGGCAAGATGGTATCGTCTTCTCCATGAACTCTCTTTACATCGATAATAATTTCGTTGTAGAGCGATGAAATCCGTGCTGTGAAATGGTATAAAATCGACGAGCAGTTTTCGTTTACGGTAGACAGAACTCACACTTTTCTAGGACTTCCATCAACACTTATATTTCATAAGGATGCTGAGATATGAGCAAAACTCGGAGCCTCAGGTGTGCTTCGAACCTAACCGGAGAATACCATTGCATGGGGCTCACGTGTTATCCACCACACCAACCAAAGCCCTTGTGCTGCTTTTCTCTCAGACCTGTTTTTACTCCAACGATGCTATCACCAATAACACATCCACGCGAATGATTAGTGCAGCACAGATCAGCACTAAGCCCAAATTAGTCTAACACGTAATCGAATTCACGGTGTTTTAACTTTTATTTATTCCTATTCCTTCTTCAAGACAATGAAGTGTAAACGGCGTTCACTTGCACACTTGATATGATTCAGTTTCGCTATGATGTGGCTGTGATCAATAGTGGAGAAAACTTTTTGGAAAACTGTTTGCCTGAAGTCTCCATTCAGTGTTTTGTCAGCTGTTGAGTGTGGCTTGAGCAAACGGCTTGTATGGCTACCAACTTCGCTGGTTTCTTTACTATGCCTCACCCAAGGAAAGTGCCCTTCTCTGGAATCACAAATGTCTTGCTTAAGCATTCTAGGTTGAGGCCTCAGGTATACGTGCTGTAAGTATATATTGTCGACGTGATGCTTGCAGTTTACGGCACCTCCGAAAGTAGATCTAAGGTTTCAACATAGCTCTTCTTACCAACCATGTAAGAGCGAAGGTCCTTCGTGACAAAGGGAGCGAAACGGTTATTTCTGTCGTTTTTGGTGGAAGACGAAATCGTTAGGTTGATTGCAAGCTTTGTGCTGAAACTACATGCAGCATATAGTCCACGAATACCAACGTGTACGTAAGAATGCGCACTGACCGATTAATGGAAATTCGACAGCCACGGACAACTCATATGTCATTCCAACGCCTTGAAATAAGGTCCTTTTTCTGAAACCACCTGCGTCTTAAGTTAAGTATGCAATCCGCGTTTAACTCCTTATTGTCGACCTGGAAACATAATGTAAGACTGGCCCACAGAAATTTTTTTCGAGTAATAAATTTCTGAAATCTACAGATTTTTTTACGTGACTCGACATCACGTATCATGCAGTTCCCAGTACTTCTTTCATTCGGTTGGTTTACTCAAAGTCACCTTCGAAGTTGTTGTGGGTCTGAATGCCATGTGAAGATCTCCAATGAGCGTTATGACCGTCGTTAAGCGTTGGTCAAGTTAAGTCTTTCTGGAATAGTGAGATATCCCTTTTAGTTCGTTCTTAGGTTTTCATCACAAGGCACAGGTGGTCGCCACCCTTTTTGGACCAGAGAGAAGTCCTCCTATACACGTTTGATGCTATGGCATATATGCACCAGAGGTTTAAATTTGGAAAAAGATGGATTCTTCAGCACCTTTGCATGCGTTGGGAATCTCTATTGTTTCTTCCACATCTGTTCATCCTACCAAAAGGGTCCCTACCTATGCGCTTTACTCTTCAAGAAGGGCATTTCGAAGAATCAGCATATTCAAAGTGAATGGTGAAAACGAGAAAATGGGAAAAAAAATCATTTCCAACTTTTTAATTATCATTATTCAGACGCAGAAGAATGTTGGATAGATGGCTATCCAAGGATTCCAATGAACTAACTCGGCCAACATTCAGCGATATTCGCGAGGAAAATCAAATAGCAGTCGAATCGATAAACAAACTTGAATACTTTCGTGGATCATGAGTGCGAGGAAATGAAAGCCGGGGATCCACAAAATGGGTGAAGGCGGGTCACATAAACCAAATAAATACGACATAAAACACTAAAATTTGAGAAATCGGCTCTGCTTTAATCTCGGCCTGGCTAATCAATATGTATTCTTTCACTGATTAGCTAACATGCGATTGGTAGCAACTTTTTACGGCCAACATTTCGATACTTTCCTCTTCCACAGAGCCGACGATTCGACTCGATGGTTCACAGTCGTTCGTCCTCTCGACATGGACGCTCTCAGTAGGTTCTCAGCAAAAACAGAACTTATGTGGCAGGTATTCCCTTCCTATCACATAACGCTCGACGTCTAATTTTTCTTGACTGCTGTGTGGGACAACGTCTCATATAATTTTGTCAAGACCTTTCTGGTTTATTGACAATGAACGCTAGTTTCCCAATAACTAGATCATTTGAGGGCTGGAGAACATGACAGTTTTCGAAAAAACGTCGACAGAAACCGCGAATTAAGTGAAACACTGGTTTTGAGAAGGTAAAAAGTTATGGTGGTCAGATGTTTCAAAGGTGGTTGCTCCCCTTTGGTTGGTAATATTTGGCTTTTGTACCACGTGCGATACTGCAACATTACTAAAATGTTTAGCTCAAACTCACTGAATAAAGTTGATTCTTACTTTGATGTGGTTCTATTTTAGTTAGCCTTGTTGACTTCTTTCAAGAAGAATAACAAATGCAGTGAACAAAACAACCGAGGAGTTCACAGCTGGAGGACAGGAGCTAACTAACCTTTCTCAGCCATTTTTGTAGAATTCCGTCCAAGCAAAAGTCGTATTCGTTCATCCTTAAAGGGTCTTATTTAAGACATACATTTCCTGGATTGTTGTCCCGGATTTGACTAGAGTGCCGCAGTTTGTAACACTACAAAAAAACTTATGCAATAACATGACAAAAAGATGTTTCCCATTTAGAAACGAACAGCCGCGTTCTTTTGTCATATTTCGATGAATAGGCCAATTATCTACAACTGGTTAAGGCGTTTTCTTCCAAAGCTGTATGGTGATCTCAGTGTTAGCGACGTCGTTTACCGTGTTCGTGCAGAGCTATCACTTCCGCAGCCACCATAACACTCATCAGATGACATTTTTGGTACGTCCACTCTCGATTTATCGAAGCCGAAACCGAAGAACCAACATTTGCTGCGTAAAGTTGCATAACCTGTAAGCTTCCAAAATTCTCTATTTTCTGGCTAACATGACTACATTATCCAATTATGTTCGAATAAAACATGGTCTGACTAACCCTCTTAGTCGAGATGGTAAAAATACTGTAAAGGAATTTGTATAAACCTAAGCTTACAGCATAGTTACAGATGCGTTTCATTTTACTTGAATGGGCGGCGTGGTTGCTACGAATGAAGTTTCCCGAAAGAGAAAATACAATAGATACGATCAAAGAAAGTTGGAGGAATAGAAAAAGACTCAGGAGAGACACCATAACAGCGTTTAATTGTGTGAGAGTCAATTTCCTTCATGAATTTCCTTTTCCGTATTTACGCACTTCAGGCGGATGATAGCGAACCATCTCCATCTACCAAGGAGAGCCTCGACAGTTTCGTTTGCGAAGTAGGTGATCGAGGGCTTTAGCCTTTCGTTTATTTATTTATTCACCGAATCTTCAGATTGTCTCCAAAGTTAAGGACGACCAGCGAACAAGTGAGCGTCTTCGTGTTCTACAGAAAATATACGATCATGTAAAGGTATCATGAAATCTCACCATTTCTACTTGAAAATGTTGTTGAAGCTACAGGAAAACTTAGTCAACATAGCCAGCAGCTCACAAGATTGACTATCTATTAACCTCGGCATTGGATTATAAATCTCTCGTTTGATCTCTTTCTTACAGCAATCACGAGGTTGTTATTCAGCACACGTTTACTTACAAATATACAACACAACGGTAGCTGACGTTTCGGCAGTATCGCCTTCTTCAGAGCCTTGAAGGGTATTGACATTTAATTTACTAGGTCAAACGCTTCAACAGCACCAATAGAAAGATAAAATCTGAACATCTTCAAAAAAATGTAAAGCACAATCTGCACCTTCTCGAAAAACCCACCGTTTTTTACCTACCTTCCACAGAGGAAGAACAGCCGCTTAGAGTCGGATGTGGTTGATTACTGCACTAATCCACATCAAAAATCCATTCTGAGATACGAGGCTAGATCATGTGTCATCTCAGGGCAGTATACCCTGCTATTCATTTTCGGATTTCTGGAAGTTATCCAAAAAGCCTCGAGAAATTTGCGCGTTGGTGTTTTAGCCTCTCGTGCGATGAGAGCGACTTTTACATCAAAATTTTCCCGCTATGTTTTTGTATCCTATGCGTGTCTAGCGGCGTGGCTTGTTTTGATTTTCGCTTGCCATTTAGGTGTTCTTTTATGCGGATACATAAAGATCTACCCGTTTTGCCAATATATTCGTCTCCGCAATTATTATAAGAGATCAGATATATCATACCTGAACTCATGCAGTCTCCGTACCTATTGTAAGGAGGGCAAATTACGCCATTTTGTGTTTTACATAGACGGTCATATAAGCGGTAAAGACCTAACTGACGACGAAGAGTATCCGGTGGTGTTTCAACTATCGCTACCGATTCCTCTAGATCTGCCGTTCTTAAGCATCGCTTTATCGCTACACTTATTTCATCGCTAATGAAGGGCAAGGTAAACGGGATTTTCTTTTGTCCAAACCCGTCGTTTTGGGGAGTCTCTCTCCTTCTAAACTTATCTCGTTGGTTACTATTTCGTAGCTATTGGAGATGACTATTTGCCGGTCTAATTTGCGCGATTCTTCCTTTAGTTCCTTACTTGTGCACACAGAGGTGGCTGTTCGAAACATGTTTCTCACAAGCGCCCTCTTTATGTGTGAAGGGTGGGAAGAAAGGAAATGAACGAGGATGTAAATTACATATTAGTGTACCCTTCCAGGCCCTGAAGAAGGCGATAGTGCCGAAGCGTCAGCTACCGTTGTGTTGTATGTGTTATATTTGCAAGGAAGTAAACGTGTGCTGAATAACAACCTCGCGATTGCTGTAAGAAAGAGAACGACAGAGCCAGCAGCCCTATCGAACATGATAAAGTTTCCTTTTCTAAACGAAGAAGCTCCATTTGGTTATGCGAGGATTACTCATATTGTGTCACATTCTGTGGAATATTGACTTGCTGCATAAACTATATAATTTTCTCTAACGGAAAGCTTTTACAAAGCAGTAAGTGTTAATGCTACAGACGGTGGCCTTTGAACCTCTTAGTGCTGGAGTCAAGGTCGACTTTTTAAATCCTTTAAACGAACTTTGGCTGTGGTCCCTAATTCCTGTTTTTTTTTTTGTCAGATTCATTTCGTAATCGAAACCATCAGTGATGGAAACGGTTATCGCATCCCAACAGTGAAGATTAGAATGTTCTTAGGAAAACGTGGTTGAAATTAACCTTCAAACTCAAGTAATTATGGTAGGAAATTTGAGTGGTCCGAAGTACGCACTGGAAATTCCGTTCCAGTGTTCCTTTTGCTCATGAATGGTCACATCCATTTCTAAAAAGTATTTCTTCACAAAAGAGGGCGTGTGTAGCGCAGTGGTGGAGGCACCCTGCAATACATATAGGATCGATCCCCGAGCCATAGGCCACCAAGCCCTCAATCCCTCTAGGGTCGTCAAAGGAGTACTAGACTTGTCTGGGACGATAGCAGCGCTGCCTCGATACACCATCTACAGGCCACCGCACGCGGCTTAATGAAGTCGAGTGCATGGCCCATCGCTCAAGGATTGATCAACGTTGGGAGCTTTATCCTTTTTATTTAATGCAACACAACGTTTTCTCCACCAGCTGTTTCCGTTCGTCGACCTTCTTCTTGACATTGTTAGGAGAATAATACAGATCTCGACCTATTGTCTTGAATACACGAAAAAGAGTGCGTAGTGAATCCCATCAACGAAATGCAACCGTCAGAACAGATATTTTAACACACATTTCTGAAATTTAATTCTTCCGTCTTTAAGAAATAAATTTCTGCGAAATTGGATGCAAAGAATCCTTCGATAGAGAGAGATACGTTCGGTATACGTTCTGCCAAGGAACCAAGAATTGATCACGGCGAGTGGGTTGATATTACGTTCGATCCATATCAGAGAGCCTCACGAGCTCTACCTTCTTTTGAACAGTTTCAAAATTTTGTTCATACCTCTGGCTATGGAAAATGCTGGCTAAGGTCCCTGCTTTGGATTTCGAGCTAAAGCACTGGTGCATTTCACATCGCATACGGTAGCTGTTCTTGCTTTAAAGAAAAATTGAGAAAATTTTCGTTTGGGTGATCTGTGTGAAGGAGTGTGCATAACCAGCAGAAGGTTTTTTTTGGAAGCGAAAACATGTCTTAGTAAATCGTCTCTTGACCCTTTAATAGGTCGAGCTTATAAGTTATCAAAAGTAAGTGTTCTGTTCCTCTACACATTGATAACGCCAAACCCATGTTTGTAAGCAAAGCATAAAAAGGATAATGTTTTAGAGCCCTGTCCTACACTCGAATTACCTAGTATCTTTGAGGGTGATTGAAAGCATATTAGTCTACACACCATATTGGTCATATTGGTCTTATTCACATGGCTTCACCGGTGTAGCAAGTCGTCTGATACCAATTCTACGAGAGAAAGAGGGTTTACTTTACCGAAGGCCTAGGATCGAACCAACGACCTCGTGTATCTTGAGGGTCACCCTTAATCATCGAGCTAGATGCTCCATTTTTGTAAGCATTCATATTCAAACCCATTGTTAGTAAATGGCCGCTATGGATATGGAACTGCTTTGGATTCATAGAAGAACCGGGTAACAATCACTGTGACAGAACCGTAGATGCCGAAATGGAACGCAAGTACGTACATTTCGGCAATGTGTCACAACATAACAGCATCTTGGTATTGACGATTAGTATTCCCTCTCCATTTAACGGATAATGGCTTTCAACCCTTCACTTGCCTTTAAAATGTTCCGTAAATATTTCATTTTTGTCGGATTTTGTCGATAACGGAGGGGAGGCGGTGATGACTTGCAATGATAACATTTAGATTTAACGTTTTAAGTAGATGTCCATGCTTCGCATCGGATTCCATGTGGGACGACTTCATCCAAAAAGCCGAAAAAGATTAGTTGTTTAATCGCTATCCATTAATTCTCATTAAATTTATTGTTCGAGTGACAGAGTTTGGTGAACGAGGCACTGATCTTGCTTTACCGCTGAGTGAATAAGCATCACCTCTACATCTCTCAGTTCGGCGTTCATACACATCCGGCTTTTTATAAGTTAGCAAACGCGAAAGGGAACAACTGTATAAAATCAGCTTTAGATACCAAGAACTTTAATACGTATTCTTCCGAGTATCTGATTAGTCAGAACGGCGCTGAAAATTTCAGAATTCTGAGCCTTTTGCGCTGAAATGTGTCTCTGCATTTGTCCTTGAACATGTCCCGCTTTTTCTCTATCTCACATGTTACGTTTTTTCTCCTCCCTTTTTCTTTCCTCTTTTCTGCTATGCCATGGAATGAAAGAGGAAAAGAATTTTTATTGAAGACATTAAACATTTAATAAAATGTTAATTTATAAAGGTAATATAGCACAAATCGTGAAATCGAGACAGAGAACAGCGATTCGATCCCCGGAAATTTGTATAAAATTGGTCAGTACGCAAATAACTTCTATAACGCTGAGATATTTGCAAAACTCCGGACCGCAGGTTTTTGCGGTGGGGAACGAACGCACCATTGTCCTTCCCGGGGAGTAACGCTTTCACCACCACACCATGCGGGTCCTTCGTTTCACCTGTCTCTCAGCTAGTTCTATCGATCACTTACCATCAGCAATGAGCACAGGAAAGTACAATAGCGCGCTCATTCCTCACCGCAGGCACTTGCGGTCCGAAGTTTTGCAAATATCTCAGCATTATAGAAGTTATATTTCGCAATATACTTTGCCATTAAAAAGAATAGGCAGTAAATAGAAAGGTTAAGTAAGCAAATAGTTTTGAATGGATGCGAATTAAGATGATCCGCGAGCGTTCGGATGACGGTGTGAAGGAGAGCCTTGTCGCGTTGGAGTGGAGGTTCGCCGCGATGGTCGTCGACCGCCTCGGGTTCCTGGCATTCTTCGGCCTGCTCGCCACCACGACTTTCGTCATCTCCGTTCGTGCACCGTATCTGGTCGCTTGAAAAAGCGATGATTCCTACTGAAAGACGATTTCACGTAAGTGATATGAATTCTTCGATAACGTGAGCCGTTCTGTGTCACACTTTCTTGTTTGCTATTTGCAAATCGATCCACTCCTATTTCACCTCGTTTTGCGAGACGAAACTATATTTGGAGACATTAGTGAGTTTAGACGCCTATGAATTTTAAGTTTCCAGAGAACTCCTCACGCAGATGAAGAGAATTTTTCAAATGAAAGTTCTCGAAAGCAGTTACTGCAACATTTTGCAGCGATATCAAGTTGGCCAAGTTTCAGTTTCTCTGCCTGCTTGAGGTTATTGCTTTGTTAATGAGAATGTTTGGTGCTAATGAACACAACATTCACCTGGCCAGTGCAAGTTATGGGTATCGAATGATCCCAAAATCATTAGAAAATAGTCGCCGCTTACACAGTACATCACGACTGTTCATCTTTTTGTATATCTGCGAACGCAGCAATAAAAATCTTTGAATTCTCTGTTTTGAATCAGTTCTCAGAGTTCTGTTATATTCTTATTACAACTGTGCGTAATTAGTAGTCAGATTATTGCAGTACCGGGATTCACCACCGTCCTGATATCAAGGTCGGATAGTGGCAAATCTCCCTTTGATCCACAAAGTCTGCGATTGTCTGTGATGGTGACATGGGGCAGACTTTGGTCAGGCTGACCTCGGGATTCTAGGAAACCACAATGGCTTAACCAGCAAATCTCCGAAAATGGAGATCATGCTGAGGTTCGCTCAACCAGTGAGGACGGGCCATTGAAGTATCAAGTATAAGCATTGCAGTTCTCTTAACGACATGAGCGACGGTGTAAAATCATCCATAGTGGTTTTTCTCTGTCATTTCGTGCTGGTTTGTTACCCGTTTCTTCTTTAAAAATTTCACTAATATTGCAATTCTGTGAATTTGTCGATGAGTTGTTTTTGAACTGTTGCACTCACTTGTATACGTGCTGTCTTACTCTCCAATAATTTTTGGCCTTGTTCACTCTTTGTCTTTAAAATCAAATGAATCTATTCCGCTAGTACTTGGAGTTGATGTTCAGTATCCGGAAAACTTTTACTGAGTCGTGCAAGCCATTTGTTTGCGACACCGGTTCTAATGACATAAATTGTGTTCTGCACCTTAATGAGCAGTACGTTTTCGACCCAGACTCAGCAAAATGGTTGTCGATTCGTTTTGTTCATTCGCCACAGTCCTTCGTAGAAATTTGCAGTATGAACTGTTATAAATATTAATCATTTTCATTCTATAAGTGATACTGTGCTTGTTTCTCATTCCCATAAGGTGGAGCAGAGTGGAGCAATTTGAAAAGCTAAGTATTTAACTAGCAATATTCTGGTGCCTAATGAGCTAGTACTAGTACGAAGTCTGACATGCGTCTACTGTGTCTGACGTCTTAACGACATTACCACCTTTATAGCTGCATCAATCTGAAGCGAAATTCAATCGAAATTAAAGTGCTTTCTGCAGAAGTGTTACACTGGTAAGTGTCGTCTATAATAACAATTTCGACTGCTAGATTACCATCACGTGCAGAAATCATCTTCGTTAATACTTGTTGAATAATATGTTCCACTGAACTTGATTGGACGTGATTCCGATGATAACGACATCGTTTTGAGTTCCATCGTTTGAACGGAATAGATGTGGATCTGAAGAGTGCTATATCGTCGATAACTAGAATGGAAGGCGAAAGAATTGCACCAAAATGATTAAAATGAAAGAATATAACAGCCATAACGACGAAATGTATCAACCGCTTAGGTTAGCATAAAATGGATTTATGTCGACCTTTGGGTAGAACTAGATGATGAAAGTAATAAATCGGTTCACGTTTTCTGTAGGTGATCTTTTGGAAGAAACCCTTTTGCACAATGAATAAATATGTTATATACATAGAGCTGTCGTCGTTGATCTTTCCCTTAGGAATGAGCAATGCGTTCAACTTCATTAAGGTAATTGAATGCATATCTGGCATTTATAATGACTCGCGGTGGCCTAAGGATATATCGAACCAGTGCTGCTACCTTCCCAGACAAGTCTAGTGTCAATTTGCCGTCCCCTAAGGGATGAAAGGTTTGGTGCTCCTTGGGCACGGGTATCGATCCTATGTGTATTGCAGAGCGCTTCCGACCACTGCGCTCCACATACCCTAAATATGTCATATAGGTTTCGGAAATTTCCACAACTCTGTGCTAAACGTTTCAAACCTCCCTTATAATACTACAAAAACTCAACGTTGCTAGTGAAGGTTTCCTTCTTGCCTGCAAATAAATAATCTATACAAAGGAGAATGAGAGAGCATTTTACACTAAATAGAATTTGTGCTGCTAGAAAGGAACTTTATTTGTCCTGTGGATGTGTTCTGGAATGGATGTGATAAATAACGAAATTCTGCACCTCTTCCTGGAATACGAAAAGGTTATCCTCATGGGAGTACGCTCCTCAAATGAGCGTAGTGAGTTTGTTTGTAGAGCCGTTGCACTTTGAGTTGAACAGAAGGGCCGTCGCGGACGCATCTTCTGTGTATCGTTGACGATATGAAGCAAATGTGTGAAATAGTCAAGGAAGCGTGAGCATTCCAGCCACGCTCTTGCGACCCAAAATTGCTGGGTTATTTTGGAAACAGTTTAATAATTCTATTTTGAGGTTTTGTTCCATAAGAAGGTAACAACTCTGAGGGCCTCTTAAACAAGTTCTATGGTGTTGAAAATTCCATAAACAAAGTTCTTTACAATGAAGCTAGAGATTCAAATGGCTTCCACAAAGCATGCTCTAACAATAAAAAGCTGATAAACAACTGAGAAAATTCTGGTAAGGTAGTTCTGACCTTGATGGCAACCAGAGATCTTGAAAAACCTCAGGCTAGATGGTGGCATTAGTCCTTTTATTGAGTTGAACCCACAGGGTACCGGACTTATCTGGGAAAAAAAAAACCACTCTGTGCAATCCAACTGGGAACGTTCCAGCCTCGTTATCTGGACTCTAGGGAGAATTGCTCGACCAGCATTCTACAGCATTCAAGATAAAATGAAAATCCTCAAGCAACAACCGAAGCCACACATAAAAGTTGGAAGATCCTCATGGACAGTGGATGTAGGGAAGCGAATCAGATGTGAGAAGTGGTGGGATCCGCACGCTAGACGTGAAAATGGGTCAAATAAAATAAAAAAAGTAGTCTTGTTTAGCAAAGACGAGGTAACATTATTTCTCTATTTTCACACAAGCTGACGTTTCGGCGAATTTCGCCTTTCTCAAAGCTCTGTGCGGTTGGTCTCCACGTGACATATTCAGTTGAAGACTCATAGACGGCGGTGAATGAGGAAGGAAACTACTCTGTGTCCAATTTGATTGAAATCTTGGTCTAGAATTTTTTCTGTTTGGTTATAGAGATATTTGACCGGATAGATCTCGGTTAACTTAACCTTTCTAGGGTCTGGGGAAGGCGCAATCCGCCGAAACGTCAGCTTGTGCGTAAATAAAGAAATAAGAGCACCTCGTGTTTGCTAAACAAAGATATAAAGAATTGTTCACTCAGTGACGAGGTTAATAGAGAGTCGATCATGGGAGAACAAGATTTCTCAGTACTTGAGAGCAACATCCAGAGCAAGTTGGCAGTTTTAGGAAAGTTATGTTTTAAGTCAATAATAACAACATTAACACCTACGCCATCACGAAATGTGTGTCCACCTATTTCATTTCCATAGAATGTTCCTAATTTTTTTCTCACGAACGATAGTGATTCCAATCAGTCTAGAAGGTCTGTGAGATATATCGTCATTTTTATTCGCCGCTTTAGAATACCACGTCGTAGTTAATCCATGGGTACTCCTCATCCAAGGAATCCCCATTCATATTGCCGCGAGAATACGTTGCCTGCCACTAGCTGGTGAATGGAGGAAAAAGTGCCACCCTAAATCTTCTTTTTTTTGTTCTTTAACAGATAACTACTTGCTTTTTTAGCGTGAAATAGGAGATAACCGAGATTAACACTGAAAAATAAATTTGGCAAATAGAAGTGTTATATTTTGCATGGAAAGACCAGAGGAACCTCATAATAACACTCGTTTCTCTCTTCCTCAGTCTAGAAAAAATCCTCCTAATTGTTTAATTCTAACAAACGTCAGAAAGCAGATTTTCTATAGCAATCGACAGCGTTATAGAATTTGCTCGATAGTGGCGATATACCGAAAGAATTCTCAATCCAGATTTACATTGGGGAAATTTATAACGGCTTCATAACGATCGGCAGATGGAGCCAGTCATCAAAACTTTTCAAATTCCATCAAAATCATTGCACTAGAGAAATACTGCCAATAAACTGAGAACGCGTTCGAAGAACTCCAACTTTTGCTACGGCGTTGATTAATGAAACTATCCTGTATCATACAGCAGAGTTTACGCCTAATGGCTGGTTCATCAACTGTACGAGTTCAGTTACGAAGTCCGCTCTATCCATTAGAATTGCTGGCAGACGATTAATTTGTTGATTCCAATTTATCTCACGTGATCAGTCTTCAAATCCATTGCGCAGATCACAGCACTTCTTGAATCCCATTTGTCTCTCCTATCCATCATCTACGAAGGATTTCGAACCTTCGGTGGGTTGGTTCGGATGCTGGGTGAGAACTGGCGTTTGGGGATTCCAAATAGGCTAGAATAGGCTTCACTATTATCCCAAAATACTGATCGAGTCCACTTCCGCCGAAGCCACAGGATAGCCTGGTAGAGCGTTCCTACTTAGATTACATGGAGGAACCTGTTCCCAGAAAATTGGTGTCTGGTGTCAGTTCTCCGATCCCAGGAAGCATCTTGATCCCGGTACGGGGTTGAACCGACGTTGTGCTCATGATGAACGGTGTTGCTACGACTACACTACGCACCCTTCTGGGAAATGATTAACGCTTCTTAAATCACCTTAACAGCTCACTTTGCACGAAAAAAAAAACAGACTGCTTATCAGGACTGAAAAGCTTT